TTTTCTCATCATGATAAAAGGCTCCAAAAACAACAATAAACAAACTACAGCTGAAAACCAAACTAAATGGTGAAAGATTGTATGTTTTCTTTATAAGATGGGAAGCAAAGCAAGGATAGTTACTTGCAGAATCCTATACTTGTATGAAAGTTTTCACAAGTGGAATGAGATAATAAAAAGAAATAACATGCCTGCAGTTTGAAAAGAAAAAATTAATATCTCTTTTTTTTCCTGAAAAGTAATTATCTGTGTAGAAAATCTAAGAAAGCTACAAAGATATTCTTAGAACTAGTGAGCTTAGCAAGTTCTTAGGAGACAAAATTAACAATATAAAAATCAAAAATATTCATATTTCCATTAAGAAACAATTGAAAGCCAGATGTTACAGACATTACTATTTATAATAGTTCAAAAAAGAAGGAAGGAAGGAAGAAGAAATTTAGGTATAAATCAACAGAATGTGTGGATGTTTTATAAGCTGACAACTGTGAAACACTTATGAGCAAAATTAGAGAATAATTACATAAAGAGAGAAGCATAGCATGCTTGCTGGTATAAAGAGTCAACATATTCTCAAATCAACAATCCCCTTTACATCAATTAAGAGGATTAATACAATTCCAACAAATACTCCAGCAGAATGTAGATATAGGCAAACTAATTCTAAAATCTATGTGGAAAGGTGAATAAACTAGAAAAACCAAAGCAATTTGGAGAAGAAAAGAGAGCTGGAGGAGTCATGCTACATGCTTTTATGCATCAATAAAAGGTTATAGCAATCAAAATGATGTGATATTGATAAAGAGGTAGATCAATGGAACTGAATAGACAGTCTAGAAATACATCCACACAAATATGGCCTTTGATTTTGACACATTTTCAAAGGTAATTCAATAAAGAGTAGTTTTAAACAAATACTGTTAGATCAATTGGACATACACATGGAATAAGATGAAGATTATACCTTATATAAAAGTAACTAGAAATAGGCCATAGATCTCAATGTGAAACCTACATCTATAAAACTGTTAGAAGAAAACATGACCTGGGATTGGAAAAAGAGTTCTTAGATCTAACACCAAAAGCATGATCTATAAGAGAAAAAAAAGTTGAATTTTAACAAAATTAAAACCCTCTTTTCCGACAAAACCACTGTTAAAAGTATGGGGGAAAAAAAGCCTTAAACTGATACAAGTTATTTTAAGGTCACAAGTCCAATAAAGGACTTGTGCTAAGAATTTATAAAGATCTCTCTAACCTCAATAATAACAAGTAGCTATTCAATTAAAAAAGGAGCAAAAACTTAAATAGACGTTTCTGTGAAGAGACCAGACAGCTGGCAAATAGGTACATGAAAAGATGTGCAACATCACCATCCACTAGGAAAATAAAAAGTAAAGCCACAATGAGGAAAAAACAAAACAAAACACATTGACTAAAATGGCCCTGGTGCACACAGAGGAAAAAAAAGAAACCTATCAACACCAAATGGTGACAATGTGGAGAAACTGGAACTCTCATATATTACTGGTGAGAGTGCAAAATGGTGTAGCCACCCTACAAAATAATTTAGCAAGTCCTTATAATGTGACTTCCTTACTATATGTCCCAGAAATACCACTTGTAGATATTTACCCCAGAGAAATAAAAACTTATGCTCACACAAAATCCAATACACAAATGTTTATTGTGGCTCTACTCATAATCACTATTACCTAGAAAAACTCAAGGATCTTCAACTAGTATGTGTCAGTTTATGTCCAATCAAAAGACAGACATCAAGTAGTAATTTAAAAAGGGATATTGTGATATAAATAATTATTTGGCTATGATGAGAGAATAATTACAAAGACTTAAATAAAACTCCAAAGAGCACCTCAGGGCTGAGAGACAGTAGAAATACAAAGTTGGAAGTGTTCCCTTTCCCAAGGCTGGGGTTCAGACATCACCAGAAGAGGTGTGGTGTAGCCGCTGAATGGCAAGGAAGGTCTCCTGCTTGCCTAGGTCAGAGCTAGAGGTCATTATCCTAAGCAAACTAACACAGGAACAGAAAACCAATAAATGGTAAAATACTGCATGTTATCACTTGTAAGTGAGAGCTGAACTTTGAATACATATGGGCACAAAGAAGAAAAAAAGAGACATTGTGAACTACTTGAGGTTGAAGGGTGGAAAGAAAGAAAATAATGAAAAAGTACCTATCAGATGCTATGTTTATTACCTGGATGACAAAATAATCTATATACCAAACCACTGTGACATATAATTTACTTATGTAACAAACCTGCACATGTACCTTCACGTGAACCTGAAATAAAAGTTTTTTTTTTAAAAAAAGAAAAAATATGAAAAACTTCCCATAAGTGGTGAGAAAAAGAAACATCTAGATCCATGAAGTACAAAAAAACTCTAAATAGATTAAATATAAAGACATTAACTGAAACACAGTATAATCAAATTTCCAAAAGTCAGAGACAAAAAATAATCTTGAAAGTAGTGAAAGAAACATATGTGATGTGCAAGGGAATGTCTGTAAGGTTATCAGTTGATTTTTCAGAAGTTACCTTTCAGGGCAGGAGAGAGTGGGATATTCAATGTACTCAATAAAATCATTCAATGTACTCAATGAACAAAACAAAACGCTGCAAACAAAGAATACCCTTATCTGACAATTCTATCCTTCAGACAATGAAAAGAGAGGAATTTTACCAGACAAACAAAAGTTGAGAGAGTTCATTAACACTAGACCTTCTTTATGAAGAAGGCTAAAATAATTTCTTCAATACAAATGATAAAAATGCTAGCTGATGTCATAAAAACACATGAAAGTACAAAGTATAAATAGACTCCATTAAGTACATAGTAAAATTTAGAATACTCTAACACTGTAATTAGTGGTTGGCAAATCACTTAAGTCTTTAGCATACAGGATAAAAGATAAACCTATTAAAAAAAACAATAACTACAATAATTGTTAAGAATTATGCGGTAAAGGAACATGTAAATTGTAACATCAATAACAAGAATGTGTGAACAAGAGCAAAAATGTAAAATATTTTTATGTGATCAAAATTAAGTTGTTATCTTTTTAAAATAGTCTATTATAAATATGGTTTTTGTAAGCTTTATGGTAACCACAAAGCAACAACCTGTAATAGATAAATAACAGATAAAAAGCAAGCAACCTAAGTATAGCACAAGAGATAATTACCTAGTCAAAAAGAAGACAGCAAAAGAGGAAGAAAGGAACAAAGTCAGGTAGAATGATACCTCCAGCTTTATTCTTTTTGCTTATGTTTTTTTTGGCTATGTGGGCTCTCTTTTGGTTCCATATGAAGTTTAAGGAGTTTTTTTTTTCCAGTTCTGTAGAGAGAGTCATAGGTAGCTTGATGGGGATAGCATTGAAATATAAATTACCTGGGGCAGTATGGACATTTTCACAATATTGATTCTTCCTAACCATGAAGATGGAATGTTTTTTCATCTATTTGTGTCCTCTCTATATTCTTGAGCAGTGGTTCATAGTTCTACTTGAAGAGGTCCTTTACATTCTTTGTTAGTTGCATTCCTAGGTATTTTATTCTCTTTGTAGCAATTTAAATGGGAGTTCGCTCTTGGTTCGACTCTCTGTTTCTCTGTTATTGATGTATAAGAATTCTTGTGATTTTTGCACATTTTATTTTATATCCTGAGACTTTGCTAAAGTTGCTCATCAGTTTAAGAAAATTTTGGGCTCAGATGATGGGTTCTTCTAAATACACAATCATGTCATCTGCAAATAGAGACAATTTGACTTCCTCCTTTCCTAATCCAATACCCTTTATTTCGTTTTCTTGCCTGATTGCTCTGGCTAGAACATCCAATAATGTATTGAATAGGAGTGGTAACAGAGGGCACCCTTTTCTAGTGCCAGATTTCAAAGGGAATGCTTCCAGTTTTTGCCCATTCAGTATGATATTGGCTGTGGGCTTGTCATAAATAGCTTTTATTATTTTGAGATATGTTCCATTGTGACCTAGTTTATTGAGAGTTTTTAGCATAAAGGGCTGTTGCATTTTGTCAAAGGCCTTCTCTGCATCTATTGAGATAATCTTGTGTTTTTTGTATTTGATTTTGTTTATGTGGTGGATTACATTTGTAGACTTGAGTATGTTGAACTAGTTTTGCATCCCTGGGATGAAGCCTACTTGATTGTGATGAATAAGCTTTTTGATGTGCTGTTGCAATTGGTTTGCAATATTTTACTGAAGATTTTTTCATCTACGTTCGTCATGGATATTAGCCTGAAGTTTTCTTTTCTTGTTGAGTCTGCCGGGTTTTGGTATCAGGATGATGTTGGTCTCATAAAATGATTTGGGAAGGATTCCCTCTTTTTGTATTGTTTGGAATAGTTTCAGGAGGAGTGGCACCAGCTGGTAGAATTCAGCTGTGAACCCATCTGGACCTGGCCTTTTTTTGGTTAGTGGGCTATTAAAAATTGCTGCTTCAACTTCAGACCTTGTTATTGGTCTATTCAGGTTTTCAGCTTCTTCCTGGTTTAGGCTTGGGTGGGCTTAAGTGCCCAGAAATTTACATTTCTTTCAGGTTTATTGGTTTATGTGCATAGAGTTGTTTGTAGTAATCTCTGATGGTAGTTTGCATTTCTGTGGAATTGGTGGTGATATCTCCTTTATCATTTTTATTGCATCTATTTGATTCTTCTGTCTTTTCTTTTTATTTATCTGGCTAGCAGTCTGTCTATTTTGTTGATCTTTTCAAAAAAAAAAAAAAGCTCCTCGATGAATTTGTCTTTGGGTGATGTTGCAAGACTAGATTTTCTGCCCTGGATAAAGTAATAAAATGGATTAGAAAATTTCACACCAGTTTTACTTGTGCAAGCTCTTATTTTTAAAATATTTAATTGGCAAATACAGACTGTATATATATATATATCTATATATATATATCTGTATATTTGATGTGTGTATATATATATATCACAATTTAATTAGCATATCTATTACCACTGATGCTATAAGACATTGATGAAATAAATTTTAAAAGACACAGATAAATTGAAAGTATTCCATATTCGTGTATTAGAAAAATTAATATTGTTAAAATGTCCATATTCCTCAAAATGATCTACAGAATTGATGCAATGCATATCAAAATTTCAATGGCATTTTTCACATAAATAGAAAAAAATTCTAAAATTGATATGAAACCACTAAATATCTTGAATAATCAAAGCAATATCAAGAAAGAACAAAGCTTAAGGCATTGCTTCCTGGTTTCAAACTATATTGCAAAACTGTAGAAATCAAAACCTATGGTACTGGTATAAAAACCAGTTCATCTTAGTCTGTCTTCTCCCTTTAATGATGGGTGAGTTATCACAGCTGTGGAAATCATATCCTGTTCTTACAGTTGGAAAGCCCATTTGTGAAAGATAAGACATTTGTAATTGCAAATAAGAAAGATCCTTATATAATTTGGATTAAAAACGTAATGATGTTTATTTGAATATATGAACACCAAGAATTTAGGAGTCAGTAGTCTTTGTATACATTTCAGTCAGAGCTCAAGTGCCATTTCTCTAGGATTTCCTTTTCTGTGCTTTTTCCTTTGTATGTTTTTTTCCCCCTCTATACAGGTTTCCTTTTATAACTCAACATAGTTGCTATCAGCAACTGCGGTACCAATTCTTTATCAGTTCTAGAAGGGGAAACATAGGATACTTTCTAAATGTATTTTTTAAAAATCCTAAGTATCTCTCTTTTTGGACAAAACAGAAAATTTCCAAGGCCAGGGCCAGGGGCTAGTTACTAAAGCAAAAATTATTGCACATCATTGAATCATTAATACAGGAAAGAGGATACACTACGCTTGTTGAATTTTACAAGTTATAAACAGCTCAGGATTTGGGGTGTGATTATTATCAAATGCCCTGTCAGGAGGATAAAGGGGTTGGATTTTCACAGAGGAACACACCTGGATACTATGTAAATAAAGCATAAATGAAGCAATGAAGCCAGATATGTACCCAGAGAATATCACTGTGCACACATCCAGGCAGATAACTGGAATTGGGAAAGACTTGACATCATAATCCATTAAGATTAAGAAGCATAAAAACTGTACAAGTCTTCTTTGTTACTTAGTATTTCCCAAACACCACATTACTGCCATAAGATAATCCAACTATAAAGATGTACAGAAAGTGAAGACATCCCAAATTTGGCAGTCCTTAAATTAGAAATCAACCACTTTCTTATTGTCAGTTTACTGTTGACACCTGACAGCTAAGAAGTATCACTCTTTCAATTTTCCTTATGTCTTTGGTTGTTCCTTTTCAGTTACTTTTTTGACAATTTACATTGTGCAGGGTCTGCTACAGTTTTCTTTTGTTTAAATGGTAGTATAAAAAAGCCATGGTCATTTCAACACTCTCTCTGAAAGTAACCAGCCTCATTGATACCAAAAGTTTAGGTAACATGATTTTTAAGCCTAAGGCTGGTGATATTTCATATTTTAGACAAGCTGATGGGTCATCTGATGAAGGTAAAATCAAAGTCCTCCCCCTCCTCAGAGAAAAAAGGAATTAAGTGAATGCCAGAAAAATTGTAAATGTTGCTTATTAAATATTTTGTAAACTCTTCTTTCTAAATACAGGTTCCTAGTGAACATTACTGCTCTCTCAAGGATCTGTTCAACATTATGATAATTAATTTACCTAAAACTCCAGTAAGACCACTTGGCAACCATATTCTAGGTCTACAAACCAAGTGACTGCTTAGTAACTCCTTAACAATTTAGGGACTTTATAATTAGTTCTTTCCTGACAGACATTTTCCCAGAAACAAGTGCTTACATTTTCTCTCTCTCTCTCTCTCTCTCTCTCTCGCTCTCTCTTTCTCTCTCTCTCTCAATCTCTCAAGAAACACCATTGCAAACAATCATTATAAAATGGAAATTAAAGATGTAGGCATCTAACACACAGGATATATTTAATAAATTGTGATACATTTATTGAACTGAATATGGTTGAACTATTATAAATGACACTGTAGACATTTTTTATATTTGTTAAATTACAAAAGGCAGATATGGGGGAAGAAGAGGTGGAGACAATAAATGAACTCCTTTTACATCCTCTTATACAATTTCCTGCTGGAATGGTTTTGCCAGGGTAGATGAGAAAGATCTTTTATTAACAGCACCTGATGTGGGGAGGAGCAGAAATCAGAGCCAAGCAAGTGAGCAGAGCAACCCCAGGACACTGAGAAGAGATGCAGGTGAGTGGGCTCAGAGAGATTTCGGGCATGGGAGATGCTCTTCCAGGCAGCAGGTGGGACATAAGGTATCCTCCCATAGTCAAAACAGACTTTCCTTCAGGTAAAGGTGGAGTTTGCTGTTCTCTGGGTGCTCCCAGGTGCCCAGTTCCCATGTCCCTGAGAGGCAGAGGGAGAAACAAGAGATCTTCTAGGAAAGACTGCAAGAGGTTACATGGGAATAATGTGGACATTTGAGGAGAGATTCACAGAAGAAGAAAGCAGTAGATAAGAGTAGACTGAGGATTCCTCCTCTGGACCGCCCATCTTATCTCTTGATTTTACCCCTTGTCCCAAACTAATGAAAATGACCAATACATTCCAATGTAGAATATGATGGTGGCAGAGGAGGATGATAAAAGTAATAATCATTCTTCCAAATGAATCCAGCTCCAGTTATTCTCTGAAAATCTGACTTTAGTAAAAAAAAAATTATAGCTGTAAGCTTGTATCTCATTATTTGTATTTAGAAATCTAATATAGTAGGTGTTCACCACAAACCCTCAACCAACTCTGTAACAAACATATAAACATCTATATATAAATGGCAAAATATCATGCTAAGATAAAAAATTCTTTAAAAGTTAACTCCTTGATTGGTAGATGATTAATATGTTTCCTAAAAACCTGTTTTTTTGTATGAAATGTCATGGTCCACTGAGGCTCTTTTTGCACCAGTAACATGTATGACCAATAGCCGGGACCCCTTTATTGACCCTCAGTATCCTTTTCAAAGTACACATGATTCTGTTTCTTCATTCATTGTGCTTGAAATGTTACTAGAGATTTAGCCCACTTATAATTGCATTAAAATATTTACACTGTTCTTATATAAACTTTGGCAGAAAAAATCTTGCACCAAGGAACATAAACATTGTGTAGAGTTGAGGTATTTAAAAACCAAAAGGTATTCTCTCAAGAAAATGTTAGTCAGATATGCTGCCTGTAGAATGTGCATTAATGTCTTAGGTGCTACTTGGAATTTATCATAGGGATGAGAAAGTTTTCCAGTTGTATAATGCTTTTGGTGCATTCCTTCTTCAATTCCATCATTTTAAAGATTTTCAAAAGCTTATCATCTCTTTGCTGCCAATTTCCCACAGATCTTTCTTCAGACAATTAAATCCATACAAATCATCTTTTTCTAAAAGTCCTAGTCTACCTTAAGTGTAAAGAGCCCTCTTGTTTTATGGAGAGAGTAAGTAATGTTCAGAGAAGAGAGACAATTATTTATGTGTCTCTCATGTTTCTTCATGTCTTGCAAGCAGAGGCACTTACTGCCATTTGTTTTTAGACTATCTTTCAAGAATGTTCGTGTAGTAAAAAATCTTTAAAAATAGAGACAGCATCTTCCTCCGGAGCAAAGAGTAGGTTTGCCTATAGTTTTGAAAGTTTCCATTCATAGTAAAAACAGACATATTTACTCCCAGGTATAATAAAATAGTCCCCCTCTGAAGCAAAGGGTAGGCTTGCCTTTTGCCCATTATAAGTGATAAGTGATTCAGATTTCCTAAGCTCTTAAAATGTAATTGCAGGGGACATTTCACCCCTGTAACATAACCCAGTTAATGTGAAGGCATCTGTCTGCCCATCGATGTCACCTCAATGAAACTTGGAGTAAGGGAACCTACAGCGGGTGTGTTTCTGCTTGTGCTGCTTATGGTACCATGAGTAATACAAAGTCCTTTGTCTTTTGCCAGTATCAATCAAACTGTGGAAGTTTACCTTGCCTTGCAAGTAGGGTAAAATCTCAGAGCCTTTATAATTCTTGACATGAAGTTAAATTATTTTCATTTGCAGCACATTAGAAGAAAAGAATATTAACTGAAAAGAATTGAGCTGCATCTCTTTATTTCTTTTTTTTTTAAAAACTTTTTATTGCATTTTAGGTTTGTGAGTATATGTGCAGAACATGCAAGACAGTTGCATAGGTACACATATGTCAGTGTGTTTTGCCTCCTTTCTCCCCTTCACCCACATTTGGCATTTCTCCCCAGGCTATCCCTCTGCACCTCCCCCTCCCGCTGGCCCTCCCCTTTTCCCCCCAATAGACCCCAGTGTTTAGTACTCCCCTCCTTGTGTCCATGTGTTCTCATTTTTCATCACCCGCCTATAAGTGAGAATATGCGGTGTTTCATTTTCTGTTCTTGTGTCAGTTTGCTGAGAATGATGTTCTCCAGATTCATCCATGTCCCTACAAACGACACAAACTCATCATTTCTGATTGCTGCATAATATTCCATAGTGTATATGTGCCACATTTTCCCAATCCAGTCTATCATCGATGGGCATTTTGGTTGATTCCAGGTCTTTGTTATTGTAAACAGTGCTACAATGAACATTCGTGTGCATGTGTCCTTATAGTAGGACGATTTATAGTCCTTTGGATATATACCCAGTAATGGGATTGCTGGGTCAAATGGAATTTCTATTTCTAAGGCCTTGAGGAATCGCCACACTGTCTTCCACAATGGTTGGACTAATTTACACTCCCACCAACAGTGTAAAAGTGTTCCTTTTTCTCCACATCCTCTCCAGCATCTGTTGTCTCCAGATATTTTAATGATCGCCATTCTAACTGGCGTGAGATGGTATCTCAATGTGGTTTTGATTTGCATCTCTCTGATGACCAGTGACGATGAGCATTTTTTCATATGATTGTTGGCCTCATATATGTCTTCTTTCGTAAAGTGTCTGTTCATATCCTTTGCCCACTTTTGAATGAGCTTGTTTGTTTTTTTCCTGTAAATCTATTTGAGTTCTTTGTAAATTCTGGATATCAGCCCTTTGTCAGATGGGTAAACTGCAAAAATTTTTTCCCATTCTGTTGGTTGCCGATTCACTCTAGTGACTGTTTCTTTTGCCATGCAGAAGCTGTGGAGTTTGATTAGGTCCCATTTGTCTATTTTGGCCTTTGTTGCCAATGCTTTTGGTGTTTTGTTCATGAAGTCCTTGCCTACTCCTATGTCTTGGATGGTTTTGCCTAGATTTTCCTCTAGGGTGTTTATGGTGCCAGGTCTTATGTTTAAGTCTTTAATCCATCTGGAGTTAATTTTAGTGTAAGGTGTCAGGAAGGGGTCCACTTTCTGCTTTCTGCACATGGCTAGCCAGTTTTCCCAACACCATTTGTTGAACAGGGAATCCTTTCCCCATTGCTTGTTTTTGTCAGGTTTATCAAAAATTGTATAATTGTAGATATGTTGTGTTGCCTCCGATGCCTCTGTTCTGTTTCATTGGTCTATATCTCTGTTTTGGTACCAGTACCATGCTGTTTTGATTACTGTAGCCTTGTAGTATAGTTTGAAATCCGGTAGTGTGATGCCCCCCGCTGTGTTCTTTTTGCTTAGAATTGACTTGGCTATGCGGGCTCTCTTTTGGTTCCATATGAAGTTTATGGTGGTTTTTTCCAGTTCTGTGAAGAAAGTCAATGGTAGCTTGATGGGGATAGCATTGATTCTGTAAATTACTTGGGGCAGTATAGCCATTTTTACGATATTAATTCTTCCTAACCATGAACATGGAATGTTTCTCCATCTGTTTGTGTCCTCTCTGATTTCGTTGAGCAGTGGTTTGTAGTTTTCCTTGAAGAGATCCCTTACGTTCCTTGTGAGTTGTATTCCAAGGTATTTTATTCTTTTTGTAGCAATTGTGAATGGCAGTTCTTTCTTGATTTGGCTTTCTTTAAGTCTGTTATTGGTGTAGAGGAAGGCTTGTGATTTTTCCACATTGATTTTATATCCTGAGACTTTGCTGAAGTTGCTTATCATTTTCAGGAGTTTTTGGGCTGAGGCAATGGGGTCTTCTATGTATACTATCATGTCGTCTGCAAATAGAGACAATTTGGCTTCCACCTTTCCTATTTGAATACCCTTTATTTCTTTTTCTTGCCTGATTGCTCTGGCTAGAACTTCCAGTACTATATTGAATAGGAGTGGTGAAAGAGGGCATCCTTGTCTAGTGCCGGATTTCAAAGGGAATGCTTCCAGTTTTTGCCCATTAAGTATGATATTGGCTATTGGTTTGTCATAAATCTCGGAAGCATCTCTTTATTTCTGTTGCTGTTTCCATTTCATTTTCCTTCTAGAAAAAAGAAATGCAGATTTTTTTTGTGGGTTTTTCTTACTGTTGTTTTTGTTCGTTTTAACCTACATCTGCCAGCCATGTTATCCTGGTCCGTTCTTCTGGTCACCCACCTGCTCCATGCTTAGCCTTGTCTGACAATGGCTCTCCTTTCCTTTTCCTTCATAGCATCTGGAAGTGCTATGAACTTCACCCTAACACTGTATCTAGTCCTGCATAGTACTAAGGATAGTCCCATTGTTCTTCCCTAAGAAACAGCTCAGCTTTCTAAGAATGTCTTCCCAAAGGAAACCTTAATGTTAAACGAATGTCTTTCCAAACTACTTCCAAACATCAAATATCGTGAAGTTCACAAGGGTCACAGATTAGGGAATCTTGTAAGAAAATAAGCGTGGAAGAAAATAAACCAGAGTACTACTAAAATTTGGGATTATACAGTCAATGTTTTTATTAGCCTATCCTCAACAATACTTGGGAAAATAAATTTTAGGATTTTCCTTTTTTTAAAAGAGTTTATATATCTAAAACCATCTTCATAACAACTTTTAAAAGGCTGTCCATTAAACAGTTGGAATCTCTGAACATTTTGACTATAAGGTGCCACAGAATATAGTTATAGTTTGTTTAACAATGGGGATATGTTCTGAAAAATGCATCCTTAGGTGATTTTGTTTTCATACGAATATCAAAGACTGTACTTACACAAACCTAAATGATATAGCCTACCTAACACTGGAGGAAAATCGAACAAAACATCAGTAGCGTAAGACTATTTGAAAATGTTCTTGGCTTAAGAAGAGTCTCAAGGGCCATTCTGACTGGATCAGGATGGTGAAATGTTTTATGGGGCTTTAGCAAGGGTACTTCAGCCACTATCAAGAATAGAGGGACTGTTCTTCAGGACTGGCAGCCATAAATTGAGTAATTTGAATTTACTCAAAAGATGTGAAGATAAATTGTTAGGGACTGAAGTATTATACATATGGGGAGTAGTTGGGTGAGAATGAGATTAGCTGAAAGGTCATGAACATGAAAGTCCAGAGGAAATGTCTTAGGCATCAAGTGTTTTGGTTCTTTCATGTGGGAAATAGAGTAATTCTTCTCCCCATACAAGTCTGAGGGAGGTTCATCTCAGGAGAGATTGAATTATTTGCCATGGTGTGCTGTGCAGTGCAGAATTATGGCCCCCATCTTGATCTTGTATAATGTGTGCCCTATGAATGTGAGCAGAACCCGTAAATAGAAGGAGATCAAAAAACCACAACTATGTTGTATTATATGGCAAAAGGGATTCTTGAAGATACAATGATGGTCACTAATTCATTGACTTTGTCTCAACAAGAAAGGAGGTTTTGGGAGATTCCTGGAGAGGCCCAGTCTAATCACATGAGCCATTTGAAAGCAGAGAATTTTCTCTGACTGGCAGCATAAGGGGAAGTCAAGAAATTCAAAGGCTGAAAAAAATGCATGATCCCCTTGCTAGCTTAGAAGATGGAGGGGCTCTTGTGCCAAGAAATCTAGCTAAGACTGGCACCTAAGCTGACAGCCAGCAAGGAAATGGGGACTTTACTGCTACAACTCTACAACTACAAGGAACTGCATTCAGTCAACCTCAATGGAAGTGGAAATTTGTCACACAGCCAAGTTAAACTAAGAAACTGAGTTTACAGAGAAAGACCATATATGGGGGTTAGTCTGGAATCCTCTTGTGAGTTATAATTACCTTCTCCAAAGATCAAAGACTTGGTACCACTAAAATTTTAATGAGCAGATGTTAACCTATTTTCTGGTATATTCTAAGGATATTTTAGTCTATGCTAAGGAGACACTGTGAGGGAGAATTCTTAGGTCTGACCCTGTAGTGTTCTTTAATTAGCTAAATAGAGAAGATGCCAATATTGAAAATAAGCAATAGGAAATTCTACTGGATGGTAGGATCAGAAGGCAAGGCAGCAAATCCAATAAGGGAGATTCTCAGAAAGAACCTAGAGCTCCTTTTGCAAAAGATAGAGAGTGATCTATCTTTTAAGTGCGTTCATAGAGGAGGAAAAGTATGGGCTTTTCAGCTACTTGTGGGACAGTCAAAACTGAAATGCAGGAATGGTTTGAGAAGTACAGGGAAGTTATATCAGGGTGATGCAGGCAGTGATCTTGCCAGGAAATGAACAGTACAGAAGGACTGACCACACATGGACTGACAGAACCTGAAAGTGGAGGGTGCTCAGAGACAAAACAAACAAACAAAAAACAAAACAGAGTATTAGAATAAGAAGAAAGGATAAAGTAAAGAAGAATTGAGTTTTAGCTCCACTTTCTTTCCTTGCTGGATCTTCAAGCCTACAAAATAGGACATCTGGTTTCTGCCAAGCAAGGGCAAGATCTGCCTTGAACTGGGAAAGCTTTCCAGTTTGGAGGAAGGGACCTTATCTGTGGCCTTTCCCAGGATATAGCAGGAAGAGCTCCTCTTTATGCAAGAATCTCCTGCTGTCAATGCCCTCTGTAGGAACGCTGTCCCTCACTCCTTGCCCCACCCCTTGCTTAAACACTGTGGCTCTTCTTTCAGACCCTGTTATAAATCTCTACCACTATCTAGCCTGAAAAGTTACCTTAGATTCAGCCCACAGGTAGGTGGGCATTCAGAAGGAGAACACCTTTACAGGAGAAGGACAAAGGCTGGAATCTAAAATCTTGGGGAAGATACAGCATATCTGCCCAAGAGATGTCAGCAGTAATGAAGCCTCAGTGGGAGCCAAAGTTACTTTGAGTTACTGAGTCTGAATAGGTGCCAGATTCTCAAGAGAAATATTTGGGAGGACCTTCCTGCTGTCAGGAATTCAGAGGAGAATCTAAGGAAGGTAATAGGTGCTCTGCTCTCATTCTCTCAAACCCTCTTCCTTGTATTCTCCTATGAAGATTTCTGACTTTCTCCTTAAGCAAGAGACTCACTGCTGCTCAGCATGGCTCAGACCAATACATTCTTCATGCTGATCTCCTGCCTGATGTTCCTGTCTCTGAGCCAAGGTGAGATTTTCCCTCACACCTCTCACACCAGCCCTGAAGTCTTCCCTCCATCCTCATGCATTTGGGTTCACTTGAAAAATAGCAGAGTCAACATCAGGGGTTGTTTTGTGTTGTTCAGTGATATTTATTGCTGATTTCATCCCATTCAAAAACATCTTCACCTCATAAGGTAATTAGAAATGAAACTTGGTATGACCCTTTATCAGTGACTGTGGCAATTGGCATTGGTTTATCATATCAACTCTATTAATAATCAGGGGTTTGGGGATGCCTGTATGTAGACAGTCATTAGTGGAATGGGGAATTGAGGGGAGCTTTGTGAGTAGAGAAACCAGACAGGCTTGAGAAAGACAGAAGCCTGAGTCCTTCAAGGCAGAAAAGGCCTGAGCCCCAGAAGTAAAAGGGACAATGGGAACACATTTCATTAGCCTATTTATTGTGTGCTTTTGTCTGGAGCAAAGACATATTGAGAGACTATAAGTAAGATGCAGGAGAATGGAAGTGACCAATCACTTCATGACGTACAGCAACCATCTATTCCTATAAAGAATCCTCAGAATCTCCTACATCACCTTTTAGCCTTTTGTCTTTCCCTAGAGTCTTTCTTAATTGTCTCTTTTCCCAGGATAGGATGGCCAGACAGAGTTGCCCAAGTCCCGGGTCAGCTGCCCAGAAGGCAACAATGCCTATGGCTCCTACTGCTACTACTTTAATGAAGACCTTGAGACCTGGGTTGATGCAGATGTGGGTGAGGAGAGCAGTGTGGGAAGGGAGGCTCATGAAGGCAGAGGCAGCTGCCTCTCTCCAGTGTGTTCAGTGGCTGATATAAGATGAGACTAATCATTTCCCTATCCAATCATCAGCCCAAACTTTCCAGTATACTTAATCCATCATTCAGCACAGAGATGCTGATGGTCAGTGAAAGCATCATCAGGGACATTTCTGTGCGGTCCTTTTACTATCACATCCATTGGGAGGGCTCACTATGTCCCCCACACTTTCCTCCTTCACTGAATGCTCCATTTTACTCTCCAACAGCTCTACTGCCAGAATACGAATTCGGGTAACCTGGTGTCTGCGCTCACTGAGGCTGAGGGTGCCTTCGTGGCTTCGCTGATTAAAGAGGGTGGCACCAAGGATTGCAATGTCTGGATTGGCTTCCATGACTCCCACTGGGCCAGTCTGCTGCATCTTCTACCTCCTTATTATCAGGTTTCAGAGGGAAGAAGGAGGTGTGATGTCTGGCACCGCAAACACCAGTTTTTACCATACTATGATAAAAGCAACCTCTCTATAAATCCTATAATGTACAGGATATTAAGTTTCTCTATAGGTCCTTAGAGATAAGCTTAAAACTGAATATCCTCTGTGTTTCAGACATTCACAGTAAACTCATTTTGTCTACTTCTAGGGTAGCATCTTATATATCTGTTATGCACCTCTTATCTATTGTGTTATCATCTTGTAAACCATATAGAGAAAGGTAATAGAGGAGGAGAATGTGCTGCTTGTATTTGGGAAACTCAAGGTATACTAAATAATATATCAACAACTAATGGCCATCCAATGCTATGCTGGATATGAACTTTCGGGGCCTCAGGAAAGAAAAATCAGGAACCAGTTTCAATAATGATGTTTTATGGTTCTCTGTGTCATATTTAGAACACTTACTGTTTGGCAGGACACAGAGAGGTAGGTGAAGATTCCAGGAAAGGAGAAGCTTAGAGAAAATGTGGAGGAAATGTGTGACACTCAGAGATAAAGCAAGGTTTATCCTTGCCTTATGTCTTGACCGGTTTCTGAATCAAGAAACACAAGTCAAACACAAATCAGGTGTTTCTTTCTCTTTCTGAGTCTCGTCCGCCCCTGCTCTGGCCCTTCTCCATCTAGAACCACCACTGGCACTGGAGCAGTGGGTCCCTGGTCTCCTACAAATCCTGGGACACTGGAGCCCCAAGCTGTGCCAGTATTGCCTGTTGTGCAAGCCTGACTTCAAGCTCAGGTGAGAGGTACAGCAACCTCACACTTACTGCCATCCTATCCTATTTGTCTCAGGATTGACCTGGGGACTGCAATAGAGGAAAGGTGAGCTCCGCATTCAGGAAATAGAGGAGCGTTTCCTCTTGACTTTTCCTGAGTTCTGCAGCCTAGAGGGTAACACATTCTGATCCCCTCAGTTTGAATCTTCTCATTGGCTTATAGGATTCAATAAATGGAAGAATGATTCTTGTAAGGAGACGTTCTCCTTTGTTTGCAAGTTCAAAAACTAGAGGTGGCTGCAAAGTGGATGTCTAGAGTATGTCTACTAATTACTATGGAGTAAAAGAATTAAACTGGACCATCTCATCTCTCTCCAAATCAATCCAGACCATCTCTTCTCTTCTGAATTTGCATCACTGACCTGTAGTATCTTACCTACCCCAGTTGCGGGGGTCCTAAAGAATAAAAATAAACATGTTTCCCCATGTCTGTGTCTGCTATTTCCCCACCTAATGCCTGGGGTGGTGTTGCCTACTTGTTAGATGCCCGTGGACCATTGTGTGAGTACAGGGATGCTCTGAAGATGCGAGAGGGTCTACAATGCTTGTTAGTAGCAAGTCTTATGGCTCACTGTTACGGGTTGTGGGAATGGCCACAGAAGTGTAGTTAGCAGCTGAGATGAAGGTACTAACACTAGTGGAAGAACTACAGTTAGAAAAGGATATGAGGAACTCCACCTCCGTGTTTGCATGTGGTCTGGCAGATAAGCTCAAACTCAGGATACTCACCTGGAACCCCCAGCTTGTTGCTTTGTATGGTTAGGCGGGATAGAGCTGTGTTGGCCAAAAATGCAAGCTGTTCTTCCTAAACCGGACTGGAACGTTACAACTTGTTGTCCTTAGGAACCAATTACTGAGTGAGATGAAGCCATACCTCAAGAGGAGGAGGCTAATTATCCTTCCCTTTTGAGAGCAGCACCCCTCACGCAGTGGAAAACAAAAGCCTAACCTGCCTAACCTGCAGGCAGTGATGGACAGCCTTTAAACAGGAACGTTTGAATGTCCAAAATTACACCTTGGCAGAATTGTTGAACTTAGCAAAATCTTTTCAAACACTAGCCAAGAGAAAGCTGAGCTACATGGATGATGCAGGTGAGACACCCTAGTGTGGAAGGTATTTCCTTAGCAGAAAGTGAAGCTGATAAAATGAGCTCAATCCCCTTTAGACAGCGTTGCATAGTGCCGCAACTCCTGAGGTCAAGTATAGTCTTACAGATCAGATTATCCTGGCTATGACAGAGGCTTGGCCAAATGAAGGGGACTGTCCAGGTCAGACGCTGGCAAGGTGGATGCAGGAGGAAACCAGGACCAGTTTAAAGGGAGTTGGGCACACTCAGGCCAGCTATGCCCCGTCATTCACAGGACCAGATAAGGTTGTGTTTACCATAGGAAAAAAGTTGTTGCAAGCTGTCCTGTCTCCACCAACCATAGAATTGGTATGGTTCTTTCATATGCCTCTTAAGCCCTCTTGTGGGACAAGATATATATTACATTAGAAAGCTATAGCTAATCTTGGAGAAAATAAAAAGGAAAGAGATAAGGTCTGTCTGGTTACTAAAAAAAGATGGGAGTGGAGAAGGAGAAGCCAAGTCTGCCAGACTAAACACAGGAGAAATGAACAGCCTAGTTAGGATTACCAGGAAACAGATATGGCATGATCCCATCTCAGCTGGAGAAGACAAAGAAAAAATCAATAAGAAACACAATACCATATTAGTGGGCCTTTAGGAAAACCTGGCACCCGATCAACATGTTGCACTCCTTCCTAGAGCTCCACCATAACAGGGAGAAAAAGAAGGAGCTTCAAATAAAACAACTCCAGTCTCTCCCGCATTTCAGGGGTGACTACTCTCCAGTCTAAAGACTGTTGCCTCCACCTGCCAGCGATAGGAGGCAAACAGAGGCCCCATGTGGATCTCACACAGTATTAGAGTCCAAAAAAGAAGCAGAAAGCCTTAGCTTTAGTGGACATAGGCGAAATATGCACCGTAAGTCATGGAAACCCAGAGAGACACCCGGGTAAGTGAGCAGCTGTGGATGTTTATCGGGGCGAGCAATCCGAGTGAAACAGATTCCCTTCCTCCTTTTATTGGCAGAGAACCCCAGATATTATGTGTTTTTATCTCATTTATTCCAGAAAACGTCTTCAGTATGAATGTCCATTTTAAATGCACTTTACAAATGTCTGTGAGGGAATTAACCCATGAGTTTAGGTGGTAAAAGCTATTTTAAAAGGAGCAGCAAAATGGAAACTGGTAAACCTTCCTCCTCCACTGTGTATGATTCATGTGAATCAATATCCACTTCTGGGTGGGATAAAAAAAAGACAGGCATCATGCAGGAGCTGACCAAAGTTAATATTATGTGGCCATTCCGGAGTCCCTTCTAGAGTCCTGTACAGCCAGTAAGAATACCTGATGGCACTAAGAACATGAGAGTAGACCACCAGGAACTAAATAAGATGGTCCCAGAGACAGGCATCACTACTATGCCTATATAATCTAAGTGATGGAGCAAATAATAAAAATGTAGCGCTTTGCACCCTGACTTACAGAACCCATATGCTTTTTCTTGGAATAGCAAACAGTGGACGTTCCAAGTGCTGCCCGAGCATTATTACCACAGCCCAACTGTTTGTCATGGAAAACAGAGATCATGAAAAACATGATCGCTAGAGATTTAACTTTGTGTTCACTGCCACCTGCTGTTAAACAGGTTCATTCTAACAATGATATTATGCCAACTTCTGAAGATTCAGTATTGCTATGGCAGCACCTGCTGTTAAACAGGTTCATTCTAACAATGATATTTTGCCAACTTCTGAAGACTCACTATTGCTACAGCAGCACCTCCATGCATTGTGTGCTCTTCTCCCATCCAGAGGATGGGCCATCAACTCACAAAAGATACAAGGACCAAGATTGGCTGCGAAGTTCCTAGCAGTCACTTGGTTGGGTAAGACATGCCTTATCCAGGCACAGTCATTGACAAAATACACTTTTCCATGTCTAAAGCAATTAAACAGTAACAAAGTTTCCTAGGCCTTTTGGAATATCAGTAGGCTTTCATTCCACTTTTAGCTCAATGTTTTCATGCCCTCTACTGACTAGTGAAGAAGGGATCTAGTTGTTGCTGGGATAAAGAACAAGAAGACACATTGGCGAAGGCTAAAATATTAGTGGCTCAGGCACAAGCCTTTGGTCTCCCCTTCCCAAGGTGCCAATGTCTTTATATGCAAACACAAGCCCTGAGGGGATCAGTGGGGTAGAAGAGTTGTTTCCTAGGCCTGTATCAGCTATTGCCCAAGCCTCCACTTTACAAAAGGGGCATGATATATCCCTGCAACAATATACTGCCTTCTCCATGAGTTCCATGGGAATGAACTGCACACTCTCTTAGAGCCAGTGCTATCTGTGGAACCAGCGCTGCCCTTAAGGTGGATCCCCAACAAGAGATGCTTCCAATAGTGCACAAAGGCACAGTCTCCATTCCTAAAAATGCTTGGTGTTCCAATGGAAAAGAACTAACCCTTGTATATGGATAGCAGTAGCTGTACCACCATGGGCAGATACTATCTGGTTTGAGTTAGGAATGCAGCCAAGCAGTCAATGGTAAGAACTCTAAGGTGCATGGTTGGTTTCCACCCATGAGCTATGGCCTATATTTCTATGTACAGATAATTGGGAAGTTTTTAAAGGTCTTACACTTGGCTTGCCTAATGGGCCCCAGATGACTGATACGTGTTTTGAAACTCTTATGGGGAGCTGCTATGTAGAAAGGCTGCAAGAACTCATTGCAAGTTTAACTGTGTATCATGTTTCCACAACAGTCAGATTCACTTCCTGGAAACATGGCAGCTGATACTCTAGCAAAAAATTAGAACTTTAGCTCCCTTGTAATTATCTGAACTAGCTGACTGGCACATAAGCACAGTGGGCATCACAGTGCAGAAGTGTGCTGGCAAATAGGAAAGTGAACAAGACTGCCCCTCTACTACACAGATTTAGTGGTGGCAGTTACCAACTGCCCCTGCCATATCCCACAAACACCTGGACAGAAATGAGTTGAAATATACAACACACACATAGGACAGCTGCTCTTCTAAGAGACTGGCAGATAGACTACATCGGAACCCTGCCAGGGATCTTGGAACAAAAGCAGCACTAACGTGTAGATACTGCCAAGAGATTGTTGCAGGCCTTCCCTAGAAAAACGGCAAACCAAACAGCCATCATTAAGGCTTGGAAAAATTCAGTGTCATGTATGGATACCCTCCGTGCATTGATAACAACGGAGGCCTGCATTTACTGGATATGATGGCCAAGATTGGATGCATGAAAAAGATATAGACTGGAGATATCACATGCTATATAATCCCTAAGTAGCAGGGTTGATTGAAAGGGAAAATGGGCTGCTGGGCACGGTGGCTCATGCCGGTAAATCCCAACACTTTGGGAGGCCAAGGCGGGTTGTACCACAAATTCAAGAGATCAAGATCATCCTGGCCAGCATGGTGAAATTCTGTCTCTACTAAAAAAAAAAAAAAAAAAAAAAAAAAAAAACAACTACAAAATTAGCCAGGAGTGGTGGCACATGCCTGTGGTCCCAGCTATTTGGAAGGCTGAGGCAGAAGAATTGCTTGAACCTGGGAGGCGGAGGTTGCAGTGAGCTGAGATCGGGCCACTGCACTCCAGCCTGGGCAACAGAGCGAGACACAGTCTCAACAATAAATAATAAAGAAAAAGAGGAAAAAGAAAGGGAAAATGGCATTTGAAGGAAGGTACAACCGCAAGAACTCTCACATTGTAATACCTTGCAATTTCCAGGGAGTTGATTCAATGATTGCATAAGAAAATGAAACTAATAAGGAAGTAAAATATTCAATTATTTGTTATTGTAACATGAATAGTTAAGAATGAACGTAAAAAGAGTGCTAGGGTTGGAACTTAAGGCTGGAGCAAGTTTTTGATGTGGCCTGTCTGAGCCGTACTACTAAACTCAAAGTACCCACGAAAGGGAAGACATTCAAGACAAAACAAGTACCTCAGACCATGGTTACCAAAAAGGTAGTCAATATTGGGAAAGGAATAACCTTCTATTGAAACTATGGAATCAGAGGACATAGTGTGAAAGAATTGTTTCATTTGCAGATTGCCATTATCAGCTTTTTGAGAAAACTTAAATAAATGGATTCTGAGAATAACCAATTTAGTAGCAATATCTTTGGTTTCAAATGCTGCAGAGTGAAATACTATGTTTGGGTTGATGCAGGATGCACAACTCACTATTGAACAATTATAAATGGGGTAATGATCCAGACACACAAGAGGACTTTCCCGAGGGAACTGCCAGCCAGGTGGACTGGATGAAAGCCATTGTAAGCTCTGTGTATCCTGAGGAAAGGAACTGTCCAGCTCTCC